TCGACAAAGAGGGTGGACTAAAAAGGTTCAAAGAAACTGCCCCAAAGCCAAGCAAGACGATGGAGCAGTTAGTTCCGGTTTGCCTTTGGAGTTCCCACATTTAACGCAATTTTAATTTCCGAATGATTTTGTATTAAGTTTCTTTGAATTATAAGGCAGCAGTTTGATTAACGGTATTATAACAAGGGACCTGCACGAGTGGAAGCCTAAATCATTCTTTACGTTTTTAAGTCTGCATTCAAAATCTGCCAAAATATCTGTGAAGTACGTGAGCTTGGTAGTCAGCTGGTGGATCCTAGGTGGATTACTTAGGAAATCCTGCTTGGGCAGTCAGCTTACCCTATCATCTCTGATGGACTCCAGACGTTGGGTTCGAATCCAACCAAGGCGCCGAGTTTTTCCCAGTTGGGTCTATATGAGTTACTGACAAAGACGAGGAAAACTGGAATGTCTTTAACTTCTGATTGCACTTGTTCAAATGTTCGCACGTTTGGTATCTGAGAAGACTCAATTGCGGTCCTAGTGAATCGTATCAATCACTGGTCTACGCACACAGTGGCAAGTGAAGAGTGATTGGTTTCACACATAACTAAGATTGCACAATGGAACATTTTGCTATAAGCGTCCTGTTAACGGATCATTTACATCACTTTTAACTACACTGCAAATTTGCACTGGGCAGCCGTCAACGTAACGGTCGCGATTTCAGATATTCCGAGGTCAATAACCTCAAGCGTGCCGCGTTATAAGTAATTGTTTGAACAAGATCTGCCACCTACTGCTAGGAGTGTACACGGGCCAGTGAACTTAGCTGCGGATTTTTCTGGCGTCTACAGATTCTGTCGTGACCTCAGGAAGGACCAAAAACACGGCATTATAGAATCTGCCTTATGATGCCGTATATACTTAGGTAAGGTCAAGCTGTGCTGCAAAATAAAGGCCTTAAGTTGGTCCCGAAGAGGTAGCCGAGGCCTTTTACTGCAGAAAAATTGAAGATTCCAGTGTTTTGATATTCCGGCGGATTTAATTAAGACTAGCATACATGAAAATGGAAGGATTCCAAAATTTGCCACATATATTAACGCCTTGTTTATCCCTTCGCCAATCATTCTCTATTTAATTAAAATTTAGGTAGACTTTAAAGCGTAAGAAAAAAACTCCCTGCATAAAAGACTCGTATGCACCGCACATTAAAGACAACTTTAAATAGTCTGTATTCTAGAAGTCTGATAAGCGGGAACGCCAGCGAGAATGTCTGAAATTCCTCAGTGGCTAAGTTTCATTTTCATATATCAAACACATATTTTTTGTTAATTTTATTTAACACTGTTTAACCCGCAAACGCGTTTGCTGTTTTAGAAAACCCTTATAAGATTCATGACACATATTCCTTGAAAATCATAATTTTTCCGAACCTTATGGAAGAGATAACGCATTTTGTAACGTTGATAGTGGTCGGAATGCAGTGTTTTATTTCATGAATCCGAATACTTGAGCTTCAAGCTACAACCTAGTTTAGACGCAGATGCGCATACCTCCCCGCACCACTTCCGCGATTTCGCTTAAGATCTGTAGAAATCAAGCTTGCATTCGCTTTGATAACATTAAGGCATTAAGGAGAAAATTGGTCAGAAGTGTGGCCAGGGAGGTACATTCTGCATTTTGTCCGAAAGGTTTGTTGGAGGGTTAAACACAACAGAGTTTTACGTCGGAACATACCTCGAGGGGATTATCCTTTTTGTCGGTCAGCGTCAAAGTCTTCTTAATTTCCTTGGCGCCGCTGATCATACCTCCAAGATGCACCTTGGCTCGGCCCATGAACCTGACAGAAAAGCATTCAATAATCAATTATTCCACATTGCTTTGTTAGGCTTAATTGTCCGCTGCATTTGGAAGGACTATATCAAACTCATGCAGAGAAAAAAGGCCGCGCAAAAACTTTAATTGCGCACTAACAGTTTTCGAAATTGACAAAATTGATTTTCAGGCAAAAGTGAAAACCGTTCCAAAATTTTCACATTTGGACCTGTAAGAAGGAAACGTATCTATTTTGTAATTTCTCTTTGCAAAGTTATCATCTGGAATATTTACTTTACCAGTAGGTGATTTTGGGGTGATAAAATTTGACTATACCGGGTAATAGCTTTTCTTCCTGGCTTACTACGTTTTTGTTTGGTGTTTAAGAATTGCATGATATTTCATTCCGTTGATAAGTCTAGTTTTATAGTTTAAGATATGAAAACGGTTTCGTAAGATAATCCGGTTTATGTGTGAAACTCAAATTCGTATGTTTCGAGATGATGATTCGTCACTCTTTATATAAAAGAGACAGACTGAGCCCTGACTGCTGCGAAGGACAGATCCTACTTCTTTCACTTTGCGGTAAATGCAAGTTTTAAACAAAAGAACTATTATAAAGGTTACTCCCTGAATACTTTTTTCGCTCAACACAGCTAAACGCGTGGTTAGATTCTAACAGAATATTAAGAACCTCAATTCGTCAAGGGTTCATCAACCCCTTAAATTTCAACCACATGAAAATGACTTTTGCGCGAGTCAGGGCAAATGCAGCTCAGATCCCAGACACATGAACCATTAAATCCCTGAAGTGATTAAAAAGTTAGATGCAGAAAAAACGCTATTGCTTGCCTTTAAAGGAGAACATGAAGGTTGGTATATTGCCAAAACCGTCTTTATTCGATTTTGGAACGGTTTGTAATCTCAAAATCAGACATGTTTTTTATTTAGGGTTCAAACGTATGCCTTTACCATGAATGTTTTGATGGCAAAAATTTAAACGAAAAAGCCCACTCGACAAGGTTATCAATAGAAGAATCACCACAACCCAGCTTCCACCGTGCATTGCATTGACACTTTCGAGTTTGGAATGGGGGATTCAGCACACTTTTTAACGAATCTTACGCATTCATATGGCCATAAATCATATATTCTTAGTGGGTTTCACTAACAGTTAAATAAATCCGTATTGATACAAAACAAACTCGAAATCACAATCACAACAGTGTAATTGACGGTCATTTTAAAAGCAGTTGAGGCATGAGTGCATAAAGTGGCTCTACTAACCGCCGCCGGACAAACGCAAACGAAGTTATCGAACATTTTAGACAAAGTTTTAACAGAATTCCCTTAGACTAGTGATTTAAAATCTGTTCTCAACTACTCTGTGGATTTCTTAGATTTAAAATTGGGTAAACTCTAAAAAATGTCCAGAATAAAGTCATAATTAAATAATATCTGATGACGTTAACTCGAAATCAGTCTACTTAGTGCAAACAGATCTATATGCAGACAATACAGCTGAAGATGCTTACTCAACCACGACCAACTTGGGCTAGGATCTATGTGCTGAGAGAATTTAATTATACTTGAGTTAATACACTTCTTCCAGAGGTGTTCTTCTATAGGATTGTTAGGTGAAGGAAATATTCTCAAGGCCACATCCCACTCTTTCAGCATGTGGATGTTTGATTAAGGTCAATAAGACATTATCGAGATTCTACTTTTCGAGTGTTTTGAACATAATAACGGAAACAGTGGAAGAGGTACAGCTACAGGTAAATGCATAATACGCCTAAACCAAAAGATTTTCTGTTGTCTCCAGAATGGTTTACGATATAATCTTGAAGGAAATAACCATATGATATTTTGGGATGAGCGCGCCTTTTGTCTTTCAAAATAACGACTATTTTTCTGCTTCAAGCTAAAACATCATAGAATACACAGACCACAATGATTTAGCATAAAAACTATCAGGCACTGTTGTTGAACCGAGGTTCAAGAAGTTAAGTGACACTAAGCCCAGATTGGAGCGATGTACAAAAGTAGTATTTCGAGTTAAAATATGTTCGAATTCACAAAATTAAAAAGGATACATGTTTCGGCAACAAACATGATTGTGAAATAAAAAGCAATCAATGCTAAATGTGCGACTGGATTATTCTTGAAGGAGTTACTCTCAGTCAGTGTAATACTGCATCTCTGATGGTGATTTACATATTCGAATGATAGAGCATGTTGCGTAGTTAACTGATATATGACCGAAAGGTTCTCATTATAATTTTACAAATGTTGACGGACATCTCAGCGAATTACATTATTTCTCCCTTTGTAATTAAAATAAGCAATTAAAGAGTAAATATTATTGTTTTCCTTTTCATTTGTATGTTCTCTAAAAATGTGTGGAACCAAATGGCAAACACGAAAACCTGTATATATCAACTAGTCTAGCTTGCTGACTATGGGCTAAATGTTTGAAAAGGGGCACTCACTTTCCGGTGCCAACTTTGTCATAGTCTCTAACGGTGAACGTAATCTCATCGGAAGAGGACAGCGGTTTGCCTTTTAAGTCGAATGTTAGAGTCTAAAAACATCTATCTTCCACAAAAATTGACGTACCTCATTCCATGTTGGGTTAAGTTCGTCGTCTACATGTTTTGTCTTTTGTGATTCGCCTGAAAAAAAAACGTAAGGGTTCTATATCAACAAGAATTACCTGGGATTTTACTGAACCCATTATAAAAATGCAGGACACTTCACTAGGTTAATGCACTTGCAGATATATTAAGAAGTGCAACTTTCGAATGCAGGCATGTAACTGGTTGTAATCAGGCTGTTTTCGTGTGCCCCTCTAGATCAATGACGTGCAATTGCAAGATCTGACAAGAGAGGTTTCACTGTCCCGTCTTAAGAAAATGACTACCTGTCGGTGTTTTCAATCAATGATTTTTTAAGACACAACTTCCTTACTGATGTACCCCATATTCAGATTTACTCAGGTAAGTTCACTTCCGTGCATCTGCTAAAAGAACCGTACATTCAAAGCAGACTTCGCAGTTCTACATAAACTTTCGCAGATCACGATATATGCGTTTGTCGTAATCACATTAGATTCTTTTCGTTGACCTGCTACCGCCTTATCAATCTTAAATTTACCCTAATCAATTGCCGCTAGTAAATGATGTAATTTAGATCGCATTTAGAGAACATTGAGGCAGATAATTGTCAAAAAACGTTCTAACAATGATAAATTAAACGCGCAGAGGACGAGTATAATAATTTCGGAAATAATGTCAGATATCCACAGTATGCCACAAAAAGTTTCATTTAGGCTTCCATTACATAAATAATGAAAACGTTAGTATTAGTGGCACTTTCAATTATTCCAGTCTAAATGTGCGAAAAAATGTCTCTTTTAATATCTTGGGTGAACTATAGGGTGGCAGTTAATTGCTCAATGTAGATAATAAGAACATGAATATTGCTAAATGGATATGATTTAAAAAATAGAAAACAAGATACAAAAGCGCAAAGAGTAAATGAACTAGATTCAAAATACTTCATAGCAGATTTCTGCGTAAAACAAACATAGCGGGCGGAATATTCGAAATGTTGCATCGTTAATTCTGTTCGTATTGAGCTCCTAGAGCAAACGTTTTATGAGAAGTGAGTGCTAGAATTAAATAGTAGACGATATCATAATATGCGCTCGTGGAACACGTTATAACTTGCCGTTGAATTCAACCAGTGTAAAAGGGTCGCTTTTGCCGATAACTTCGACATTTTTCAAATTTGACGCCTTCTGAACTTGCACTCTCAACGACATTTTGGAAGTTGATAGTGCAACAGTGACCTCAAACAATTACAGTTCTAAATAGTTAAACAAGTCCATTCAAGGTCATAGAGCTCAAGGAAGTTTCGTCGCCGAAAACATGTTTCGTCTTATTCTTCACATGGCACATTCAGTATTACGTATTGGAGTAAATTAACGTTAGTCGAAATCTTGCGTCCCTTCGGAGATGACAGTTTGATTTCACATGCAAATTAAAGAATAGTAAAAAATGAGATACAAATAATTTAACAAAGAAACCGAACTTGACATCTGGAAACATGCATGAGGATAGAGGTACGAGAAGTTCAAACTTACATTTTGTCAAATGGTAATGCATAAGAGGTAACTTTATGCAGTGTAAAGATCGGAGCGTGATACTACTTGCAACATTTCTGGGAAAAGGCGCGATGTTATCAAGAGTTGCTTCCTTTTGGCGTTCATTTGGTTTTAACAAGAATTCCTCTTTTGTATGTAACTGTTATAACCGACTAATTGTATCGCGCACTAGATGTTTTGATAGACCCGTTCGTGATGATCATTGATCATGCTTGACTAATTCGAATTCGTTGGCATTTTATGGGGCAGCTGTGTGTGCTGGACCTTGTAAGTTACTTAAGCAGAGCCCCAAACGTTAGAACTAAACCCATGAAATTATCGGACGAGACAGGCAAAGCCGCAACTGACGTACTAGTTACATAATTATTCAGACGACGGCTTGAATAAAAGGATGAAGTGGAGCTGGTAACTAGGCAGGATATGTGGGGAGTTCAATTAAAGTTATTTTTCCAACGTAGTGATATAGTTACCTAATTGTTTCGTTTGGCATATTTTATCTTCAATTTGTATTGGTGGCCTCGACCATTGGTTGTTCTCGCCAGTTTGAAGAAATCGCCAAATTGAAGAGCACAGTCTAGCCCTCTGATGATCCTAAAGGCCATGATAATATCCCCCCTGTGTTGTCTATAATGGAGAGAAAGTAGTTTCAGCATTTCCTGCCGTCTTTCACAGGATAAGCAGCTTAATCCTTTGAGCCGCTCGGTTGCTCTTCGTTGTATGTTTTCCAATGGGATGTAGTCTTGTTCCGTCCTGAGACACCATGCCTGAACGCAATATTCCAATATTGGTCGAACAAATGCTCTAAATACTCGACCAAAAGGTTCTTTGTCAAAATTGAGGAAGTATCTTCTAATCGCGTCTTAGATAACTTTAGCTTTCTTTGATACGTTGGCGCAGTGAGACGATCGTTTGAGAGTTGACGTCATCCAAACATCGAGGTCTCTTTACTCGTCGACTGATTCCAATTGGTGAGATTCACATCTCAATGTCCTGCTTTGCTAGATCGTAATCGAAAAAGTTGGCATTTGTAAAAGTTGAGGTTAGGACACCACTCATCACACCACTGATGCAGGCGATTCAGATTATTTTTTAACTGTAGCGAGTCTTCCGGCTTCTCTATTGATTTTCACATCTTGAAATCGTCGACAAACATTACGCGCTCGAATTTCAGACAGTCGAGGCAGTCGTTCACACATATTAGGAAAATAACTGGATCAAAAAAGCCCCGCTGCGGAACGCCCACTATGAACGGATGCCAATTCCGATTTAGCGTTAACGATACACACATGCTGAGATCTGCCCGTAAGAAAACTGGCTGGCGAATTCAGCAGATATCAATTCACGCCAGTTTGACGTACTCTAAATATAAATCGTCCGTGTGGAACACTATCAAATGCCCTTTTGGTGTCCGTGTACACGGCGTCGACTGATAAACCCATGTCAATTGATTTCGTCCAGCTCTCCATGGATAGTGAGACAGGATCGGCCCCTTCGAAATCTATGCTGACGCAAACTGAGCAACTTGTTTTCTGCAAGATGCTGCATCAGTCCCGTTTTTATTATCTTTCCCATCAGCTTGCAACAGAGGCTTGTGAGACTCACTGATCTGAAATTGTTTGGGCTGTTCTCTCTCCATCTTTATATATGGGGCTTATATTTGCTTGCTTCCAGTCGGCAGGCAGTGCTCCGTTCCCTATTGAAGTTTTGAAGATCTTGAATAACGGAGAGGCCAGTTGTATATATGTATATGTACATATTGAAGGGTTACAGGCAGAGCCCTTGATGACCCTATTTATGTGCAGTGCTTTCGCAGATTCATACTCAAAAATAAAATAAAATTGCGGGAATTTAAAATGTGATTGGGTCACAGGTCAATCGTCATCATAAGGTTGTGTATAGGGTCACTGTAAATTAGTGCGGAAGATTGTGTATGACAGATTTTACAAAACTGGCTGTGCATAGTCATGCTGTACAAGCCGATTTCAGTCGAAAACTAGACGAGTACCCGAATCAACGGCAACAATTCCAAAGGAGAGAGTTAAGCATGTCTTAGACCTTCTTCAAGTGTATGCGAAAGCATTGTTAAGAGACGATGAGTCACTAAGTGTTCTCAAAGCATTCCGAATAGGGAAGCGTCAGTCAGCATCCGATCCAAATTCCCGGCCTCGACCCCGAAAAGTCATTTTGGAGACTGAAGCACAGGCCCAGCTTCTGTAACAGAGAAAATCCTCTCTACGGGGTCAGCATCCTGAAGTTTTTTTTCAGCCGGATTACGAGCCAAAAGAGCGAATGAAAATGAGAGAGCTGATGACGGAGCTGGAAAAGCGGAGAAACAGCGGTGAAACACACCTACAAATCAAGAATGGACAAAGAATTCAGGTCAAACGGACATTTCTCTGGCCGAAGGTCGTCATTCTGACAGCCTAACCGATGCAAACATGCCAGCTGCTGAGGCTGTTCGAACCAGTGGCCGCTGTCTAGAAATCTAATACACTAACTGTCAGAGTCTTCTCAACAAGCTAGATGAACTCAGATTACTTGTCTCTGAACAGAAGCCACACATAATTGTCCTAACAGAGACATGGTTGACTGAGGAAATTAGTAGTAGCGAAGTCAGAATTGAAGGCTACCAACTGTCCCGTTGTGGCAGATTTCACCGTAGAGGAGGAGGCACAGCCATTTATGTGTCAAATGAAATTGCGTGCTGTCAACGAGAAATTTCCGATGGCGCGCCCCGAAATTTTGATATAATTTCATGCAAGATATGTATCAAACGGTTACCGACACTGAACCTGTGTGTTGTCTATCGGCCTCTCAGTTCGAATGAATTCGCCGATATGCAATTACTTAGTGCACTGGAGTTGCTATGTAAGCAGGAGAACTTACTACTTCTGAGTGACTTCAAAGCCCCAGGAATAGAATGGAACATTCCCCTAACAAACGTCCCGTCCACGTCATTTGACCACAAGCTACTACAACTCTCCCTGAATGAATACCTCATTCAGCAAATAAAATTCGGAACAAGAATAAGAGAAGGACAACGATCTAATTGTTTAGATCTCGTTTTCAGTAAAGAAGAAGGACTCGTAAAGGAAGTGAATCCACAACCTCCACTCGGTTTAAGCGATCATATTGCTTTTACCTGCGTGTGCTCTCTCCTATCCAACCAACAACCACAAATCAAGACACGCAGAAATATTTGGAAGGGTGACTTTAACGCAATGAGACGCACTCTTTTGGACGAAACCTGGTTGGTCAACACAGAAGATTCAGACGAATTTTGGCAATACTTTCGCGGGATTATAGAGCGTCTGATTGATTCCCATTGTCCAATAAAATGACAAGACCATGTATGCGACCGCCGTGGGTCAATCCGACGACAAAAAAGATCATGAAGAAGAAACAGGGACTCTGGAAAAAGTATTTGCAACTTCGAGATCCAAGGTCACTCGCCGAATATAAGGATCAGCCCAATAAATGCCGCAAAGGAATATGGGTTGCTAGAAGTTCTTTCGAGCGTCGACTGATAGCAGAATCCATTACATGTCCCAAGAAGTTTTACGGGCACATCCGCAGTAGGAGGAAACATAGGGGCGAAATTGCGTGTCTGAAGGATAGCCTCGGAAACTTATTAGTTGAAGGGCCACAGAAAGTGCGATTACTGTCTCAGTTTTTTCAATCGGTTTTTACGGAGGAGTCCCTAGAAGACAATCAGCAGTTTAAAATGGACCGAGACAGCCGGGAGCTTCAAATGCGCCAAGATATTGCCGTCATTAAAACCGTCGCCTTTTCCGTGGAAGAAGTCAGACGAGTCCTCAGTCAAATAAAACCTGATAAGTCTCCTGGACCCGACGGAATTCCCGG